TTTTTAGAGACAGAGTCTTATTTTATCGCCCTCGGTAGAGTACTGTAGTGTCACAGCTCACAGCAACCTCCAACTCCTGGGCTTAGGTGATTCTTGCCTCAGCCTACCAAGTATCTTGGACTACAGGCACCTGCCACAACCCTCCACTATTTTTTGTTGCAGTTTGGCAGGGCCTGGGTTCAAACCCGCTACCCTTGGTATATGGGGCTGGTGCCCAACCCACTGAGCCACAGGCGCCGCCCTGTGTATAAAATCTAAAAGCTATATTTTCTACAGGGCCTGGGCTGATATACAGGTCATCAATAAAATCTCCTAGCTAAATTCCTGTTTGTTCAAGCCAATTATTTCAGTGACTACCTTGAACCACCTCACTTCTTTAACAGGGTCAAATATATACACTCTTGCAAGTCACTCACACAGCAGCATTTATTGCAAAGTTAGGCTTTTACATTGAGAAAGTATGTTCTGGGGAATATGTCTGCTCCACGTGTGGAGAAGACCCCAAGCTTAACAAGCTTTCCCCTTTTTATGTTGGTTCCCTAATTCTATGATAAGTGCAGGGTAGGATACTCACAGTTTTCCTGATAAGGGGTGGAGAGATGCAGGAATCAGGAGCCTACCCTTCTCTGACCTTATAGGATGACTTCCAAGGGTTGTCATAGTTGGTGTAAACTGTCAAGGCACTCACGGGGTGATTTTCTGGTAGGTCACTGAGGAAAGGTTAGGTCAGTGAGTATCTAGCTTTTGCACTTGCTCCCGGCCATGGAAAGTCTTTTAACCTTAAGTTCCTGCTGTTGGGATTTCTTTTCTCTCTTCTTGTTGGTCCTAATGCTGGGTCCCTGTCTTATCCTCTTATCACACCGTGCCATCTGTATGCCCTTAGCCCTTATCTAACAGCAGAGATGGGATGAGATTGGAGACAGGAGTCCTGGCAACTAGCCTGCCATAGAATCTGGTTCCCCTCCTTAAAGGGTACAGAAGAATGAGTGGCCCCCTAAACACTTTATTAAGAAACCCACAAGGCAGGGTCCATGTTGTTCTTTGCACGTGAAGCCTATGACTGAGACAAAAAGGATTGTCAAGGAAGAAAGGAATGTGATGCCCTAACTCCATCCATTTTGAGCAAGTGAACCAGACTTACTCCACTTTGTTAAGAGCTTGCAGCTCCCGCCTTTTGTAACCAAAATAGCCCCTTGATCAAGCAGCCACCCTGAAAAAACAGGAAGGAAAATTAGCAGAGAGTTGCAAAATCTTGGGTGTCAGAGCCTGCTGTGGGCACCCTGTCACTGTGAATAAAATTGCTGGGAACACGGATTGGAGGTATAAATGTTTGCAAGAGGGGGGCTTCCCATATTCCAGGGAGAGTACCGAGCAACCTCTGCCATGGCCTTTTATTGAAGCATTATACAACAGGTGTGGGTGGACTACATATTGGAGTTACATGCTTAATGATCCCTACGTGCTTTTTCTCTCTGGTCTAGATGCCCACCCTGCCGCACCATGATAACACCTGCTTACTAAGATCTTAACTTATTATTGCATGCAACTGCTTGAGGGCTTGTCTCCAGGTAGCCAAACATCTCCTTGCTGGCTAGGAGATTGGCTGTCTCGCTCCCAGCGCCTTCCTCAAGAGCCAGTGGCCGCTTCCACAAGCCCGGTGCCTGCTCTCCTATACCTGGGACAGCTGAAAAATCTGCTGAAAACCACAATCCTGTCACAAGTCTGTCTGGGTGCATCCCTCAGTCCCCTTGTAATCCCCCTTATAGCTCTAACCTTGCAGATGTTAGCTTCTGTAAAATTCTGCTTGTGCTAGGGCTTCCCATCTTCCCCTTGAAGTACCATATAATAACTCTGATCCCTGCTTGGGGGGGTGTCAAGAGCCCACTCTTGACTGGCCAGCCCAATAAAGGACCCTTGCTTAATTAGGATTCAGTGTGCTGGCGTTTCTCTACAATTCCACTCCCTGCGGGTACAACAGATTTATTGTAGGAGATGCATCTGCTTAGAGGAGGAGGCACCGACTGCCTCAAATCTGCCTCTTCAAAACAAGGCCAGGGGATTTTTATGAAGGTGAAAATGAATAATGCAGGAGTAGAGTGAACAAACATCATTATGTGTTTGGGGTGGAGTGTAGGAGAAATCATGCTAGTACATATGGGTGGCCATAAAGTTCCTGTGCAATCTAAAATATATCCCATGAATAAAAAATGGCGGATAAGTACCTCCCAACGTGGGGACTTTAGCATTATAATGAGCTAGCGGGTAATACTGGTCATTCTTTCAGCCTTGTGCACAGGCTCAGGGCTTGTCTTTGGGACAATGGCAGCTTTGGTTCATCTTATCTTTTCTGGACAAATGATACGTTGGTCGGAGGAAAGCCAAAACAGAGCAAGAACAGTCCGCTCCATTTTGAGCAGAAGGCATTCCATCTTGGCTGTTCAATGACCTCTGCTAAAACCACCCTGCACCTTCTGGGACCTAGCCAAAAGGAATGAGGAATTACCTGACTCAATGACACCAGGAGAGGCTAAACGCACAAAAGCCAACTGGGACCTGGCATCAGTTGCAAAGTAACCCCCCACACCCTCCTACCACCCTACCTAAAACCTTTAAGAGTAGCACTTTTGCTCTTCAAGACTGATGCCTATTGTGTTGAGAGGGCCAGACCAGCTCCATTTTGTTGTTTACTGCAAAAGACCGCAGGGCCACTCCCTGCTGCCTCCCCCACCCCTGGTTGCACAAGCTGTTGAGCCATTAAGCCATCTTAAGCAACAGCTGCCATATTAGGCAATAAGTTTCAGTTTCCTTGAAATTCAGGTATTCCCCTCAGTCATGCAGCCTGACTATCCAATTGGACTGTACCACCTAGCCAGACCACTAGGTAGTTACTAGACAATCCCCCACCCCTCAGCCTACACCAATCCCAATCTTACCGGTACCATAGAAACCCCTAACCACCAATCAAAAATGTACTCATACCCAACCTCACTCTTCTTGCTTTCTGTACCCTATAAAAACCTTTCTCACCCCAGGCTCAGGGCTCTTCCTTGGTATGGATGCCAGAAGAGTCCAGGCCCGGGCTTGAATAAAGCTCACCTCGTGCTTTTTACATCTGAGTGTGTCTCGGACTGTCTGCTGGGGAGTCTTGGGGGAATTTCGGGCACAACAGTGTCTCAGCAAGCCTTCACTGAGGCGCCTAATAAACTTTAGCGATTGCTTTACATCCCGCTTCCTGACTTCATTGACAGGACCGCTACCTTACAACAAATAGGTGGTGTAAGGCTCTAACATTATCTCAGGGCTGCAAGGAGGTTCCCGTTCCCAGAAAAGAAACTCAAAAGAGAATACATCAGTAGTTACAAAGTTCTGGTCAGCAATTCGTATTAGCCTGGGAACTTACAAGAGAACTACATAAAAATTAAAACATAAAAACATTAAAAAATGTTTTTTTTTTCTTTGCTTATGGAGCTCTGGCTAGAACCAGTTAGCTAGGTATTGCTGTTCCTACTGTCACTCACAGTTTGGATCCCTTTCTTCCCTCTGGGAGAGGGGCCTCCAGGGCAGCACCGCAGACACAATGGGAGGAATAAGGGGAAACAGGCCCGGCCTGATCCAGCTCTGGGGCGTGACGGGGCATCTGAGATCCGAGCGTGGAAGGGAGGTGGCCAGCGCCGGAAGATGAAGGGTGCAGGGGACAGGCCCGGCCGCCCGCCCGGAGGCCGCCCACCGCCTCCTCGGCGCCGGGAGCAGCAGAGACGTTGGCCCTCCCAGATTGCTAGAGAGGCCGCGGAGGGCCCGAGGAGGCGACGCGCGTGCGCGGCTCGGGTATCCGGGAGGTAGGCGCGGGCCGGGCAGCCGCTGGCTCGCGGAGAGGATCGGCTGTGGGTCGGCGGCGGGAGTCGGTGAGACGCCCGGCGGCGCGCGGGGGCGGAGGGTGGCTGTGCTGGCGCGGGGCTCGCGGAGGGTGGCGGACCGGGTCCGGCCTCGAGGCTGTGCCCTGGGCTGAGGGCCTGGCGGGGGATCCCGCCTCCACCTCGCTGGGGACGCCTCGGGGACCTCTTCGCATCCCTGTGTCCCCTGTAGGGAATTTGGAGTCCTCAGTCACTTCACCGAATTTTACATATAAAGAGTGTTCATTAGGTACAATTAGATGGCGCAGGAAAGTGGAAGAAAAGTGAAAGTAACCGCAATCTGGAAATCTTAGTCTCCAGGCCTGACATTTAAACGTTTGTGTGTAGTTATCACACTCACATGTATGTGCATATGTATTTTCTTTGTGAAAGATCATGCTATTGATTTGTAAAAGCTTTTCTTACTATTATGATGAAACACACATACCATACCATACATAAAATTTTACCTTTTAAAACTATTTTGAAGTGCAAAATTCAGTAACATTAAGTGCTCTTTAAAAATTACCAGTCTCTTAAACTTGCAGAATGCACTTATTCTCATTTTAGTTAAAATTGGGCTGGCATTATGACCACTAAAAGATTTTTTTTTTTTTTTGGTGAGGATAATTAAAACAATGTATTTGCCAAAGCACACATTTACATGAAACTGTAACAAATAACCTCTGTGCAGAAAATAGTAAAATCTTGTTTGTTAGAGTGATTTTTTTTCAAAATAACAAAACCAGTATAGGAAATGCAGTTTTTATTTATTTATTTATTTTTTGAGACAGGAGCCTCAAGCTGTCCCC